TTAGAAATTATTTAACTTTGCTGATATTCAATTTTTATTTTATGTGATCGTAACGTAAATATATAATTATAGAAATTATTTAATTGATATGAATTTAACAATATATACTGCAAACTATAAGATAAATACAATATTTTACATATATTAATTATATCAAGCAAAGAGCATTTAATACTATATACATTTCAATGTAAATCAGTTGTAGATATATTTGCAAATAAAAATTTATATAAATCTTATGCGAAAAAGTCTTTAATCATTGAATTGAAGGTTAGAATTCTTTTCTGAGATCTAAAAATAGATCTCAACTCAACAAATATTTTTAGGTCGTGGTGTTCTCCAGATCTTTTATACGCAGTATGGATTAATCTAATAGGAACTTTTATCAAGATATAATATATGTGTTGATTATGAAAACAAAGTTTTAAATTTAAATAGCAAAAGTGCAAATATCGATACATTACATTAACATTTGTCTAATATCTGTACTAGGTAAGATAATAGTATATAAGATAGTATATATCACTCTAACTTAATCCGTTAAACCAAAAAGAATAAGCAATACGAATGCAAAAACCTATAGGTCATTTTAAATTCATCATATAGTACATATTTTTTTATAATTTCATAATTTCATAATTCAACAATTTAATGAAAGAAATTTAATTATTTATTTCCAGATGCTACTTGTAAGAAATAAAAATAATACAAAGTGCACAATATATATTAACGCAAAAAAATATAAGTATTTGGATTGTTTTTTCAATTTTTTATATTAATCAAATCTGTTTAAACAAAGAGTGCAAAAATGACGCGCAACACCACAGATAATCTTCTCAAAGAGGCTGTCATCCAGATTGGTGCTGGAGGATCAGCAGGTTTTATAGAAGTTTGTATAATGCACCCAATGGATCTCGTTAAAACACGTTTTCAGCTCCAAGTAAAGACAACAAAATCAGATCCATTATATTATACAGGTATTTTGTGTATCAGACATTTATAGTATCATTATGCATTAATTATATTAACATTATTATAGGAATTCGTGACTGCATGACTAAAATGTATAAGACTGAAGGACTACCAGCATTTTGGAAAGGAATTTTACCTCCGATACTTGTAGAAACTCCCAAACGTGCAGTTAAAGTAAATACATATTGCTTAATACATAAAAGTGCAAAGAAAAATCTGCGCATTTATTTACATTTATATTTACAAAAATTATTTTTATTTTTATTTATAAAAACTTTATCCTTTCTTTTAGTTTTTTACATTTGAACAATATAAACAGTTTTTCTTATTTGGCGCTAATGCACCCACTCCGTTGGTAATTACTTTAATACGATTATTATAACGATCTACTGATTATTTACAAGATGAAAAAAAAGTTGTATCATTGCAGACATTCTCATGTGCTGGTTTCTTCGCTGGTGTTACTGAGGCTATATTAGTTAACCCTTTTGAAATGGTCAAAGTGAAACTACAATCTAATCGAAAGCATATCAAAGAAAGCCCATCGACATTTGTAGTGACGAAAGAAATAATTTCTAAATATGGTTTTGGATTGAATGGTCTAAACAAAGGGCTTTCAGCCACTATAATGAGAAACGCGATTTTTAATTCATTTTATTTTGGTTTTTATCATTCTGTTAAAGGATATATATCAGTCAGAAAAGAACCTTGGTTGGAATTTTTAAGTAAAGTAATTATTCAGCTTTGTGACAAGAACAAATATACAAAGTTATACGCGATCCTCAGTTTGTAATAAAACATACTAAAAATTTTTCAGGTTGCTATAGGATTTGTGTCAGGTACTGTTGCATCTTGTTTAAACATACCATTTGATGTTGCTAAAAGTCGCATTCAGGGTTCACAAGATGGTACGCAATACAAAGGAACGCTGAACACCATGCACATTATTTACAAGAGAGAAGGGTATTCATATACATTCATATACATTTTTTACTTACCGATATTATTGTACTCGGACTCGAGATTACTCATTCAGATAACTATCATTCTAGATTTAGAGCCTTGTATAAAGGTTTGGTTCCAAAAGTGTTGAGATTAGGTCCAGGTGGTGCCATTATGCTTGTGGTATATGACTACATGCATGTATTTCTTACAAAAAAGTTGATAAACTAATATATTGCATTTCAAGAAGCTGTGAGATAACTATAAGAACTTTTCAAATTGCATTTGATATTTATATATATTTATACATTATTGTGTATGTATATATAATGTATATTTTTTATCAGTAAAAATAAAGATTCATATAATTTTATAAAAATATAATTCATTATACATTTTAAATAAATGAACTTTTAACAATTTTACATGATCTTTCTTTTCCTTTACTTTCAGACTTAAATTTTTATTTATATGTATTTTTATTTATACTAACGTAATTGCAACAGTATACAAAAAAAGAATTAATCATCTAAAACAGTATCTAACCATTTTTCTAAATCAATAGGCTTATTTGAAACACTCTTCGATTTTGTTTTGGAATCTGTAACAAATTGTCAATGAATATCTATGACATAAATCCCTCATATTCATTAGATTGCAGAAAATTAGTCTGATTGCAAATTGCATGTTTACATTTTTTTCTTGAGATAGAAATTAATCTCATAGTTTTTAAAACAAAATATCCCGAAAATAGAATTACATTAAATGAAATGATAAAATATTATTTTGATATTAAGACCTTACCAGTATTATGAGATGTAGATAATGAGATTCCTATCATAGGCTGTGAGATTCCTATTACAATACTTTGGACAGGTTCTTTTAGAGATAACAAAAAATCTAGATCTTCTTCTAAATCATCAATACTGTCTTCTGATTTTACATTCGTCACCAAATCCACAGTCTTCGATTGATCGGTCCTCGTGTTCTCCTTAGTTTCAATTTTGGTATCCGATAAACTCGATGCATTTAGATCATTTAAAATCATATTATAAGCTGTCTTGCCTCTCTCAGCATCATTCAAGATACTTGTCAATTGATCATTCTAAAATTAATACAAATTATCGAATTAATCATTCCTTTGATTATCATAATTTGAGTGAAACTTTACACACTCTTCGTTTGTTAGATCTGTTTCTTTTTATAGTTAAACTTTGTATAATTTTTTGCACTTAAAATGAAATAGATATCTATAGCTACTTTCCTTTTAAGAAATATAATCAACACAAACATCATTCTTAATATTCAATGAATAACAAGGATAAAACATGTTGATTATGTCTCCTAAAGCCACAAGATAGAAACGTTCTCCTTCTTAATATTCATTGAATAACAAAGATAAGATGAAACTTGTGTCAACCATCTCTCAAAAGGAAAGCAGCTATATAAACGCAAATAGATACGCAAATAGAACGCAGCTATATAAAAGCAAAAAGAAAACATTTGCAGTTTAGTACAGCAATAAAAAATAAACTTCACGAGTATCTTTTGCATGTCAAATATCTATTGAATACTTACTACAAAGTATTTGTCAGCCACATTAACATACTCGTTGAATGGAACGCAGTCGATCGCGGCCGACAGCGCTTTCAGGTTCAAAGTGAAAAATTCTGAATATTGCGACGAGTCGACGGTCCAGGCTTTTTCTGACTTGAAGACGAAATGTCCACCTTTCGAGAGCGGCGCATTTATGAGGATGCCGAAGTCCTTGCCTTCCTCCATATTCTCATTCGTCGGCGATTCTGCATGGTCGGCGATGGATGAGGAAGGTTGCTGTGATTTACTTTTCTTCTTTGCTCTTCGCATCTTTGAAAATTCGTCTAAATTCGTCCTACCTTTTGCGCGAAATCGTCAATTTGCTCTGCCAGTGCGTTTTACGCTTTGTGTTTACATTTAGAAATCAAAACGCGCATATACATACTACGTGCTCATAAACGGATGATAGATCGATCAACGTTCGACTCTCGATCTCGACAATTCTCTCGATATTTATCTCTCAAATACGAATTTGAAAATAGAAATGTATAATTCTTGCGAACAAACTCAGATTAATTTATGCCTGTTTCTACCAATTTAGAGTATCTTTATCCTCGATTCAATTGAATTTTCTAATTTAATTTTCACTTTTCGCGTTTTCGTTTTTAAGGAAAAAGTTACACGACCTTTTTAACAGAATTTTTTGCATGGTTTATTTTTCCTATTTTTCATGTTGGGAAGATAAAGAGAAAAGATGAACTGTACAAGAAATTCAACTAAAAAGAACTATTTTCACATAAATATTTCAATTACTCAAGGGAAATTAATTTTCGATATCTTTTACTGTCGTTTTACTTGCCGAAAATAATAGATACTTCCACATTTATCTTTTATTGCTATTTAAATATATATTTTTTTTTATTTGAGTAAGATTTGCAAAAGACAAAAAAATATATTATCAACTGCAAAGATTGATAACTTTCCTAGTCTATTATTATACATATTATTTAGATTTTATGTCTCATTGATTCGTGATTTATTAAACTTGATCACAATTTTTAAACTGTAAATCAATTAGTAAAAATATGAATTTCAAACAGTTTTATATTTATAAAAAAACTTTTGATCCAAATCCAGAATTCTCCATATAGATCAAGAATCTATTTATTAATTTGTCGTAAAATCACATTTATAGGCGTAAATTTATTGGATTCATAAACATGAGAGATATGCTAGAATGTTAAAACTCTTTAGATAAACTTGGAGAAATAATAATTGTAAAATTTCACATAAATTTAATTTGGTATTTATTAAAGTATAAATATTGATAGCTTGCGTCTCAATTGTTGATTTTTTTTCCAATCATGATAATCACTTACGTTTATTTGAATCAATCTCGTAGATATATCTGCCACAATGGATTCGTTGAACGATCGCGATCAATAGTTTTTAGTTTCAGAATGTGAAGAACTGAATTACGATAACCAACGAATTCGAGTACCAACGAATGCAACCATCGCTGTAAATATTGTAGAAATAAGTGGCGACCCATGGGAATTGGAAAATCCAAAAGGCGCATTCTTTGCTGGAAGCTTTTATTAGCATTAAATTTCAGATAAAGTCCCGACAAATATACTTCTATTACATACTACAAATTTAAGACCTAAAAGTTTGCAAAGGCAAATAACACGCAGGGTATTGGAAAGGATCAATCGATCCGCAACATTACTTTTACCCTAAAGTAAAAAGCGACTCGCGTATTACGCACCAAACTTCGCAATGTAAAAAAAACCACAAAAAAGAGAGGGACCAAAGTTGAGCGTGGCAGAAACAACATTTATTGATAAATTGCTACGATGAAGTTCTATTAATTATCAGTAGATAGATAAAATTCATATAATAATATGAGGTCTTCTTGAAGGAAACCGAGGTCTCAGGATGGTGGAGGGAGAGGATGTGATAAAGGAAGTACGAACTTTTATCTTTATTTTCACGCATGCATATATAGAGGTTTTTGCATATAAGCATATTATATATATGCAGTTCTCTAGAGCGAATAAAATGGCGTGTGGCAACCAAACCAACTGATAAAGAATATGATCGGTATAAAGGTCTGGGAGCACCTTACGCTCGTCCCTATTCTACGAAAGATTTTCGATGAACTTCTTCAATATTTTCGGAAACACTTCGGCCCTGTATTCACCCCCAACCAAATAACCTGTGTCCCGGTCGGGGGTTTGACGATCAACTCGATTCTGTCTTCGGGCTTGCACTACTTGAAGTTTTCTTCTAGGCTTGAGGCTTCTCAGCCGGAAATGAATTGCAGATCATATTCTTTGTCACAAGCAACCGACAAAACCTTCTGACTCTTGACAATGTGAGCAAGATAAACGTGTTCTTCAAATATCTTGTCTTGACTTTTCAAAACTCATTTTTTCAGAGTGAAACTTCAAACTTCCCTCTATCATCCAATACCTCTTGATTCAAAACCTTATAAACAAACAAATAGGTTAGAGAACTTACTTTTATTCAAAGCTTGTTATTATTTTTCTTTTTTGTGTTTTTCGTTTTCTTGCTTTCTTTATTTAGGTTTACTTTATTTTTTTTAAGAGACTTTCCACATTTTCTTTAAAAGATTCTATCCAACGGCTGGAATACAACTGTAAGCTAAAGACTGGCCGCAAATTTCGAGCGCTCAATTATATTCCAGCTTTCACATTATAGCCTTGTATTTTTACACAATTGAAACCTTATCTTCATAAAAGGAAGCAATATAAATTTATAAACTTATGAAAATAAGGTTTTACATCTATTCTAACCTTACTGGTTTTCGTGCAGTATGCTAAATTCGGCTACATTTTATACTTTTTTTAATCCATAGTCTTAATAATATTATTATGGTATTATAATTTTAACGCCTGTGAGATTGTATCGCATACGATGCAGAACTGGGTAAGGTAAGAATAGTAATATAATGCGATTTCGTTAATTTCATAATTTTGACCCGTTGAAGAAATATTTGGGTCAAAGTCATCTCCGAAAGGACCTGGCCTCGCATCACTTCATCTGATTTAATATCGACCTGAAATTCATTAAGCAACAAAAAAACCATGATTGTTTTACGAAGTTACGGATTGCTGCTTAGCTACTACCGTACGATTTATCAAGCGCATATCTCTGATGCCTTCTTCTGCTGTTTTCTTGCTAACTTAAATACTTACTTTGCAATCCAACTGATATTACCGTTTCAATTAGAAATATAAGCGGTCTACGAAAATATGAATCCAGAAGAAATATTACATAAATTGCTGATCGACTCTTTTCAATGTAATAAAATACGTGCAAAATCATTTTCTTTGTCATTCATATAAATAGCATTGATATAAAATAGAATTTTTTTGCATATAATAAATTTAATGCAATATATTAATTTCTTTTAGATTTCATAATTTTCAACTATATTCAAGAAAGCAGTTAATTAACATAGATATGACACAGCAAAATGCCAGGCCATAACAGAGCAAAATGATGAGAAATTGTGTCTTTCTTTAGAAAAATAAATATCGTAAAACATGCGAAGTTTTTCTTCATGTAATATTTTCGTGTAGTGTTCGGTAAAATAAACAAGTGAAGAGAAATGACATTGCAATAAACACGGTTGTGCGATAAATTATGAAAATATGAAGATTTTGCTAGATAATTTGCAGTTATACAGATGTTTACACCGTGTATTTTAATGTGATATAGGAATGAGACACATATCCATGTAGACAGCTTATATTACAACGTAAATTAAAGAGGAGATTGTACTTACGCGGTGAATAAGAGCGCGATCTAGAACGGTCGTAACGTGAACGTCGGCGACTGTAGTATGGGCTGGGTGAGCGACGATAGCTTCCTCTGTAGCTAACTCTATTGTTTCCATATTAAAAAAAAAAAAAACAACAAAAAAGAACAATAAGCAATATGTGTCAATTATCTTTTTGAGATACATGTATATTATTCCAGAAGTAGACAAGACTTACTCTCTACGCCTCGGTGCGTCCCAGCTTCTATCATGCAGATGCGTAGGTTTTCCCATGTATATTCCTGGAGTTGGAGTATGGGCACGTTGTGTGATAGAGAAGTCTACGCGAATTCGCCTCCCGTCGATTTCCATACCGGTACATTGCTCTTTAGCCACTTTAGCATCCTCGGATGTATCAAAATATACAAAGCAGAATCCTCTAGAACGTCCAGTCTGTAATAAATGACATACATGTGATATCATAGTGTCGTCATTAAATCACGCTATTACTAAATTGATTTTAATTCACTATTGTTTCACTATTGTTTTCTAATTCACATGTAGACCTGTATCTAAATGTAATTGTGTAGCCAGAAGCCTTTAACGTATCATGTGTCTCTTAAGTATGAACGTTCTAAATCTCTGGCATGATTTTACTGTTCCCCAATATAAATACTTATGGGAAATAACAAACTGTTGTACTAAGGTCGGTTCTTTATAACTAATATATACCCATTGTGCTTAAAATAGATACATATTAAAGTATTTAGCAAAAAATGGAAAAGAAAGTTTTAGTGCAATTCAATGAACTGATAAAGAAGAACAGACTTTAAATACATTCTGTGCTGCGCAAGTCACATTAAAGTTTCCATTCAGTTATCAAAGTTTGATAATTTGGCTATAAAAGGAATTATAAAAAGGAACATAATTATAATTTTTTATATCATATATAATACATAATTATATGTTATAATATAGATATATTAAACCTTCTACTTATAATCTTTGTAATTTTTTAAATGTATATTACAAAATACATGTTATTTAACATGTTATTTAACAAATATAACAAATAAAAATATCATAAGTCATTGGTGACTTACATAGTATGCTGGTTAAATCACTCAACATTGACTTTGGAACGTGTTAAATATATATATATATATATATAAAATATATATATATACATATATATATATACATATATATATACATATATTATGTGTGTGTGTGTGTGTGTGTGTGTGTGTGTGTGTGTGTGTGTGTGTGTGATAAATATACATTAATTTTACATACCTTTGCATCGATAACGACCTGTACTCGTTCTACTGGACCATATTTTGAGAATATATGTTGAATTTGCTGTTCGGTAGTAAAAATGGAGAGTCCAAAAACACCTAGGCAACGAGAAGGACAAGGATTGTCTCGATTGCCGATGTGTCGTCGTCTAGATGACATTGGGCTGCGCGAGTGTGAACGATACACGTGTCGATCGCGAGAGTATCGCGATCGTGAGTATGAGCGAGATCTACTGCGAGAGTAACGACCACCGCGGTATGGTGAGCGACTTCGACTGCGGCTGCTACGATGACCAACACTGGTGTACTTGCTGCCGCGATACGACTTTCGTCCACGTGATGCAGAGCGACTACGAGACCTCGAATATTTGACCTCTCTGTCCTTCCGCTCGCGCGATTTACGCGATCTCGAGTGTGATCGTGAATCTCTTAAGCCACCGTCTGCAGTTCGTGGTCGGCGCGGACTTGCACTACGACTACCACTTCTCTGTAAATTACAAACAATCATTACTATAAAATTGTATTGCATATATATATATATAT